CCACTGCCTTAGGACATTTAATAGATTCTAAGGCCAAAAGGGACCGTTATGACCATCTAGTTTGACCTCCTGAAAAGCATCTAACCCAATGATTTCCCCACCGAGCCCATAACTGATCAATCCCTCCCATCCCATAATATGAGAATGTGTCACCTGATTAAGTTAACAGCAGGTGAATTAAGAACGAAGGGTAAAAACACTTTCTAAGTGGGAATCATGGCTGAAAAGCACAGACAAACAACTACTCAGACTGAATTATAAAAAGAACCTTGAGTGATAAGGGCTCAGGGAAACTTCATGCCTCGTGGTCCTGAATCTCTTCCCCAGGTGCAATACAGCTGCTGTCCAGGTTCACTATAATTTTCTTCATCTGCCTTTAAAACCTTAGGGTTTGTACATACGCTACCGCTTATGTCGCTATAACTTATGTTGCTCCAGGGTGTGAACAGGTCACCCCCCGAGTGACGTTAGTCACACCGACCTAACGGCTGGTGTGGACAGCACTAGGTCAGTGGGAGAGCTCTCCCCCATCGGCATAGAGCATCTTCACCAGACGCGCTATAGCTGCATGAGTGCAGCCACGCTGCTGTAGCGCCCCCCAGATTTGAAAGGTGAGTTATGGAGGGTGTTTTCTTTGGTTCACTTTTAACACTTCAGCTGCCCTGAGTCCGGCACTGCAGTACTTTGAGACAGGGACTGGTGGGTTCTCTTTCACTGTTGCTCCTGGAAGTGCTTCCAAATCCTCTGTAGCTTGCTGTGCTCCTGGAAATACCACAACCTGAAGAGGGTTTTGCTGACCCAGGCATGTTGCACGCCTCCTGGTGCATACAAGCTGTCTTAGTCACCAGCAATGCCTTCCCAGTGCACTCCCCTAAGGACACAGTTTGCGAAGGGGTTTTCAGGGAAAAGGTTCTTGCTTATGAAAGAAACAGGCACACCCTCTAAGTACATTTCTCAAATCAACCACCTCCCCTCAGCACCACCACATCCCGGAGCCCAGGGCCTGTCCTCTCCCATTGGACAGTTACACCAGAACAGGTGGATGTAGTGTGGGGTGTAACACCGCACGTGGACTTGTTCAGAGTCCTGTAGCCTCCCATGCCTGCTCTTCCCATTGGAGACTGTCATCAACAACGGGGGAGGAGTCTACCTATACACAGTTCCAATAACACTCCACTCACAACTTGAATGTAAAAGCTACTTTCCAAACTCCAGCTTCTTGTGTTGGACAAACTGGTCCCACGTCAGAATAGCTTTTGGCCTCTGCCTACCAGGGCTTTATCCCAAAGCTTAGCTTCACTCAAGAAAGACCTTCAGAAAAACTCCGCTCATTGCAGCACACAGGAATTTTTTAAATGTAAAAATAGGTTTAAGGGCAGAGCCGGAGAGCTTGGAAAGCACAGTCACTGCGGCGAGATTCCAAGACTTGATTACCCAGCTCAGGAAGCTGCAGCAATTACTTTAGTGTCGGCTTTGAAATTCAGAGGGAACTCCAGGGTCCAGCTCCAGTGTTCTAAGTCCAACAAGTAGCTGAACAGCACCCCCACCTGGCTGTGCGTCACCAGGCATGGGCCTCTCTAGTAAATCAATGCTACAGGGTGGCTGCAGTGGCGGCTTTGCTGTCTCCCACTGAGCATCTGGCCCGTCTAGTCAGAGGGAGAGAGACATTACTTGTTTGCTTTACAATTTGAATGAGAACGAAGGTAACAGGCAGCAAGTGGGAGACAGCAAAGGAGAGGAAAAGCATGCGTAGAGAGAAGACAGCCATTGCACACACTCGATAATGGACGTGCACTAGTGGAGAGCAGACAGCAGCACAGCAAGAGGGCGCCCGCCCAGGGCTGTTGGGCGCCAATGACAGCAAAGGTTATGCCTAGGCACAGAACGGTTCAGCCTGTGTTCAGCCCGCCACCTCACATACCTGCACTCCCCACTCCCTGACTCTGCAGGGCACAGGAGAGAAAGGAGCAGTGTGCAGAAGGTGTGTCCAGAGAAACAAACAGAGACTTAGAGTTGAAGCCAATACTACCAGTAAAGGAAAAACAAGGGGAATACCCACCTTCAAGCAGCACTCCATCCAAAGGCCACACAAACAGATGGGGGCTATTCCAGACCAGGTGAGGGAGCTAGCAGAGAATGCCCTCCCACCAACACCCCCCCTACACTGAGGGAACAATGCTGATCTCAACTGTGGCACTAGGGGATCCCGCATGGGACCCAGGTATGCCATGACATAAGCAATACTAACCAGAGCCAAGAGAGGCTCCTCTGTACTGTGCCACTCAGTGGCTGGTTTGCAGTTGACACGAGAATCACATCACCAATCCCAGGTGGCACCCGTCAGCATCTCAGGAAGCTATTCGCCAGGAGTGCTATGGCCTGAAAGTGGGACCTTGCACTCTCACCTGGGACAATGCAGCTGCACAGACACTGCTCTATTTTCAAAGAGACCTCTTGGAACAGCAACATTTAGTCTTCACCTCTGACCGTTTGACTGTCCCTGACAAGCTGATGGTCAAAGATCTGGGGGCATAAGAGTACCACACAGGTGGGGAATCTCTGGGCTTTCCTTCTCTGCTCTTGGACTCACCTTCCATCCCTCTAATGAAGCAGTTTCCTCTTCAGTGCACGGCAGGGAAAATCGTTTAATCCTACAGAATCAGCTGCTGCTTTGGCCCAACTAGGTGGTTTTTCTGGCTTTCCCAGAGATGCGAGATAGCGTACGATGGAGGCTCTCAAACAAACCCTATCAGTCAGCGATCACAAACTGGCAATGTAGTGAGGAGCAGCGAAGTTATCAGTCAGCCCCAGCAAGCAGGTAATATGGCAGGGCCACCAAACGAGGGAAGAAGGGAACCTCCAGAAAAAGCGCTCAGATATTCTGTCTTCTTGTAGCACTGAGGGGTCCGGCTTTGGTGTGGCATGATAAATCCAGCCAGGGAGCCATGCACTTACCAGCTCGATATTCAGCTAGGATCACAACAGCCTACTGACTAAACACACAAACGTGGCTCTGAAGTAGAAATCTCAGAGTATTTATTTCAAGTGAAAAGAAAACCAAAGTCGTCCTCCACTGCTGGTCCCCAAAGTCCTCAGCACCAAGACATGGCAGGAGGGGAAACTTTCCACTTCAAAGGAGAGAGATGCATTTGAATGTCCCTCATCCAGGAGCATTACTCAGAGATCAACCTTAGTGAATCCCTACGGGTGACAGGCAGTAGATGCACTTTAGGATTAGAAGGGGCAGAGTCTATGCCCTGCCTGCTGCTGCGGTGCTGATACTTGCTGGAGAACAGCTGCACCTGGCTCCCTCTCCCTCTTGTCATTGCACAGTGCAGCGTGCCAGGCAGACATGCCTCTACAATGGGCAAACACCTGAACTTGGCCTCACTTGCAAGCAGGCTCACTCACCTCCAGACTTTCACTATCAAAGGATTTCCTGAGGCCCCAGGCACTTACTCCACAAGCTGCTCCTTCTGGCCAAGGCTATTCAGGTTGCAGCTGGAAGTGTTAGCATGGTTATTACTACAAGAGAAGGAAGTCTGGAAGCTGCCAATTTCCAGTGAAACCTTTGCCCTCACTTGGCTTCTTTACCACCATGAGCCAAATGTTCAGGGAAGAGAGCCCTAAATGTTGATTTGCAGTCAGTCTTGGAACCCTGGGGAAGTTCCTGAAGACTGGAATGAAAGCTCACGTTATTCCAATACTTACAAAGGGTAAATGGGATGAGCGGAGTAATTACAGGTCTGTCAGTCTGACATTGATCCCAGGCAAGATAACGGAGCAGCATACACAGGACTCGGTTAATAGAGAATTAAAGGAGGGTAACAATTAATATCAACATGGGTTTATGGAAAATAGATCCTCTCAAACTAATCTGGTATCTTTTTTTGATGAGATGACAAGATTTGTTGATAATGGTAACAGCGTTGATGTAATAGACTTTTGTGAGACATTTCAGTTGGGACCACACAACATTTTGATTAAAAAATTAGAATGGTTATAAAATTACCATGGCACACATTAAATGGATTAAAAGCTGGCTGACTGATGGGTCTCAACATTTAATCGTACTCAGGGAAATCATCATAAATCAGTGTGTTTCTAGTGGGGTCCTTCAGGGATTGGTTCTTGGCCCTAGGCTATTTAACACTTTTTGTCAATGAGCTGGAAGAAAAAGAAATCATCGCTGATAAAGTCTGCAGATGACACAAAATTGGGGGAGTGGTAAATAATAAAGAGGACACTAAATTGGAGACGGTGCAGAGAAGAGCAACAAAAATTATTAGGGGTATGGAACAGCTTCCATATGAGGAGAGATTAAAAAGACTGGGACTGTTCAACTAAGGGTGATACAACAGATATCTGTAAAATCATGACTGGTGTGGAGAAAGTGAATAGGGAAGTGTAATTTACCCCTTCACATAACACAAGGACTAGGCGTCACCCAATGAAATTAATAAGTAGAAGGTTTAAAACAAACCAAAGGAAGCATTTCTTCACACAATGCCCAGTCAACCTGTGGAACTCCTTGCCATGGAATGTTGTGGAGGCCAAAAGTAGAACTGGGTTCAGAAAAGAATTAGATAAGTTCATGGAGGACAGGTCCATCAAAGGCTATTAGCCAAGATGGACAGGGATGCAACCCCACACTCCAGGTTTCCCTAAACCTCCAACTGCCGAAAGCACCTGGCATTGGCCACTGTCAGAGACAGGATTCTAGGCTAGATGGACTTTTGCTCTGACCCAGTCTGGCTGTTCTTACATTCTTATGGTGTGAGCCCAGATTACACAGGGGCAGTCCGATCCATTAAGCTGGCATTACAAAGCCTATTTCATTAAAAACGGGGTCCCTGGAAGTGACAAACCATCCAGTGAAATGCAGACACCTGGGCAGGGGCAGACAGAAACCGGGCCCAGACCCAAACGCTGTAGGTAAAATCATGACATACTAATAGTGCCCCACCCCATCCACCTAAGCGACGCAGACCAAGTCTTACCACTTTCTCCTTGTAAACAATGTATTTGAGCCACTTGAAATCCTGCCACTTGAATCCGGCCAGAACAAAGAAGGAGTCCTTCTCATACTGCTCCAGTTTCTGGATGGCCCCTTCAGGGTACGTGATCCGCAGCGTTGTCTTGCCTCCCACATCCTTCTCAAAGCCCTTCACTGGAGCAGAGTTCAGCCTGCCGGGTGACAAGAGGATAAACTACCAGAGACTCTCATCTACATTCACATACAGCCGGTGAGGTAGCAGCCATTGGGCAGTGATTTCCTTGACCACGAAACCCAGCACTATGCCTAACCACAGCCATAGCTTATTGGTATCAGTCAGGTTCGTTAGGAAGCAATTCCAGTCAAGGCAATGTAAAACACCTGATTTAAGAAACCAAAAAACAGCTCCAATGATTTAAATCAGGCTAGGGCTTTGGAAAACTAATTTGAAAATTTGTGCTCTTGAAATTTTAGACAAAAGATCATTATGGAGTAAATTATAAATAGTGTTGTTTTAAGAGCCACTACTGCTAAAGTGACTTATCTGAATTTCACAACACTGCTATAGACAACAAACAAAATACTGAAAATTAAGGCCCTACAAACACTTAAGCAGGTGCATAACTTTACTCGCATGAAGAGTCAAGTCAGTGGGACTATTCATGTGCTTAAAGTGTTACAGCATAAGGGGGTTAGTCTGTACTATTAAAACTTTTCTCAGTGACACAAAATCTTTGTCACTTTAAGACAAAATTCCTACAGTATTAACAGTACAAAGTTATTAAGACTTTCAAGAAATTAAAGTTATTGGGAACTTCTTATACACAGGCCAAAAATGTCAAAACAAAATCACTTGATTTAAGAACTCAAGCCCATACTTTGGCGCGTGAGGGTGGGATTTTCAAAAGCCCCGTCTGACTTCGGAGCACAGTCCCAGTGACTTCAGGCTGCGTTCCCGGTGGAGGAGTAGAGCCTGGTTACATTATTGACTTGGATCCTCCTTCCAGGCTGCCCCACCTACCACTAAGTACCTCCCCTCACTTTCTCTCCCCCTAAGCTTCTGCCCTCTCATTCACAGGGAGTGTCCGCCTCACCTGACCCTTGCTGTTTAAAACCCAAGTCTTATTTCCAGTCTGAATTTGTCTAGCTTCAAATTCCAGCCAGCTCACACAGGGACTGACTTTATTTCATGGATACACCCCCCCAGATGACGGGGCTCCAAATGCTCCAGAAACCAAACTGCCAATATTATCCCATGCAGGAGCCCCCGGAGGTGCCCAGGCTTTAAAGCCTGCACTTAACAGCATGTGGGGATTGCCCCGGTCAGCTGAGTGTCATAGTTCAGACCAGCTCAACTCCTCTTTTCATGGCGCACCGAGTGGCGCTAGCCTGGGATCGCTAGGGCAAGTCTGCCTTTGTTTTTACCTCAGGAAAACTGGTGCACGCCCTGCTAGGAGTCAATCAGAACCCCACTACGTGACTGGGCCCCTGCATTATCTGCTAGCTGCACCAATGGATTCTCCATATTTCTCTGCCGCAGAGATCCACCTCCTAGCTCCCAGATCTAGTTCCTGCAAATCCTGCTAATGCAGCCAAGCAGCCCAGAACGAAAGGAGCTCAATGTACAAGAGAAAGACACCTCTCCTTCCCCGGATGTCCATGGGACCCAAGCTAGCAGGTGGAGACATTTAAGAAGATGTCTGCTCTCACCCGCTCACTCACACGGCTCAGCACCTGGCTTCACTTAACCTTTAAGGTTGCCTTTTCACTTCCTCTCACAGCCCCCTGCCAGCACAGATGCTCAGATACCACCCTCATCATCCCAGGCCACAGACTAGCTTCAGATTTACTGATGTGAGGAGAAGGGTCACGTTGGGCGTGGAAATGACACACTACAGGCAACCCATCCAGTTATTAGCTATAGGAATGGGTTTATTTTTGCCAGACCACTGAACTCCTCACGGAGTTTCTCATTTTTTGAGGGATTTTGGATTTAAATCTAAGTGGGTGGCTTAGTGCAAAGAATCGAAGCCTTTCCCCTCCTGCTTTCTGAGCAGAGTCGGAGTCCCAGGAGGGGCCCTACGAGAACAGAGGTTGGTGCAGTCCAAAGGCCATCACAAAGAATTAAGCACATTCTGCCAGGGGGTGTGAGGTGGAAAAGATTTATCCCACTCTGAGCACTTTTCCCAGTGTCCAGGGCCAGGGAGGGGAGAAGTGAGCAGCTTCTGCCACAGACTCTCCTACCTTGGGCAGGACACAGCTCTGCTCCTGCCTAGCTCTGAAGCGGTAGGTCCTGGGCAACGCTGCACATGTGTGTGTGACAGTACCTGGCCTATGGAATCTAACGGGGAGCAGCTCTTTAGTAGCTGCTAATTAGATAGTATTGATGCACACACACTGCGGGCATCATCCAAGAGGTGGCTCTTTGGGAAGAACTTCAGTAAGGAGAGGTAACAGCTTGACTCGCGGAAGGGACAGCATGGGGGCACCTGTGGGATAAGTGAGACAAACGACCTTCCCCATCAGGAGGACCACGAACATTTAGAATTCGGACAATCTGTACATTCTTGGTTTATTTTACACTTCATTGTAAGCGTCCCTACCAATGGCGATTGTTCCTGGTCAATGTGTGAACAATGGAGGCTGAACCTCTCTACAGTCTATTCGTGCTATACTGAAAACGAATAAAAAATATCCAAAATGGGATACCAAGGACTCACCTGACCACAACATCGTAGTCATCAATTTTCAGCCCCAATGATCTATTTGCAAGCACTCCTCCATTTCCCACAATGATACATCGCCGGCAGCTGAGACTGAGGAGGAAATGCAGAGAAAGGCTGCTTGTAACAACATGTTAAAATTCACTATCACACAGAGCTGCTTGGAAGCAAGTTTCCGTGCAGCCTGCATCTCTCCAGACATTACAGGAAATCTTTGGCAACGTTCAGAACAAAGGGAAGGGTGCTGAGTCGAGGGGGAGGGCAGAGCTGCACTCATTCTTAGCTCATCCCATTGTGCCGAGGTGGCAAATTCCTCGGTATTTCACACCCCGTGCAGCATGGTGAGATGGGCTACCAGGGCAGGCAATCTCCTCTCATCATTTCCTCACTCTGCTTGGGTCAAATGAAACTCATTAATTATTTAAACAATTACTCAACCTCCATTTCATAGAATCACAGGACAGGAAGGGACCTCGAGAGGTCGACTAGTCCAGTCCCCTGCACTCGTAGCAGGGCTAATTATCTAGACCATCCCTGACTGGTGTGTGTCTAACCTGCTCTTAAAAATCTCCAGTGATGGAGATTCCACAACCTCCCTAGGCAATTTATTCCAGTGTTTAACCACCCTGACAGTTAGGAAGTTTTTTCTAATGTCCAACCTAAACCTCCCTTGCTGCAATTTAAGCCCATTGCTTCTTGTCCTATCCTCAGAGGTTAAGAAGAACAATTTTTCTCCCTCCTCCTTGTAACAACCTTTTATGTACTTGAAAACTGTTCCCTCTCAGTCTTCTCTTCTCCAGAATAAACAAACCCAATTTTTTCAATCTTCCCTCATAGGTCATGTTTTCTAGTTCTTTAATCATTTTTGTTGCTCTTCTTTGGACTTTCTCCAATTTGTCCACATCTTTCCTGAAATGTGGCGCCCAGAACTGGACACAATACTCCAGTTGAGGCCTAATCAGTGCGGAGTAGAGCGGAAGAATTACTTCTCGTGTCTTGCTTACAATGCTCCTGTTAGTACATCCTAGAATGATGTTTGCTTTTTTTGCAACAGAGTTACACTGTTGACTCATATTTAGCTTGTGATCCACTGTGACCCCCAGATCCCTTTCCGCAGTACTCCTTCCTAGGCAGTCATTGCCCATTTTGTATGTGTGCAACTGATTGTTGCATAATGAAATAAATGCATAAATAATAAAATGTCCCTTCTCTCCATTATATAGACTACACTAGATGTAAATAATTCAGTCTCTATTCTAGAAATGAATAGCTGTTTGACAGACAGTATCTGATAATGCACAGGATGGGGACATTAAATGGCAGCCTCTCTCCTCACACAGTCATGACACAGGACTTGATTCAGATTCAGAAGACCTAAGTTCAATTCCTGGCTCTGACACTGGTTTGCTGGCTGACCCTGGGAAAGTCACTTGCCTCCCTGTGCCTCAGGTTCCTGATCTGTAAAATGAGGACAATGATACTGACCACTCCTTTATAAAGCACTCTAAGATGTACAAATGAAAAGCGCTATGTCAGAGCGGGGTGGTGTTATATTATTTTGCAGGAATACAAGCCATTAAAATGCTCAGCCAAAAATCACCCATCCTGCATATGGCAGAAGTGACAGTACTGTATAAAAAGTAACCACTCATCAGAGACTAATAAGAACCAAACATATATGTAAGAGACCTGCACATTCTTTCATAACCTGTGTCATGTACTTCCGAAAAAATTAAGGGCCAGACTCTGGCTAGACCTTCCCCTTTGGGTTCCCACAGAAGGGGCCACCCACACTCACAGCAGGGAACACAAGGACTTTCAACCTAGTGCTGGTCTCCCTAGAAAGGATTGGCCCAGTGCAGCTGTCAATGAGGGGAGTGTACACCGGACCTTCTGAAGGGGGAGGGCAGCGGCGGGAGTGAGTTCTCTCCAGAGCCCCCAGAGGAATTCTGGGAGAGCCGCCAAAATGCTTCCATGGGCTCTCTCTCTTGGGTGTCCTCACCACCCCCGCTCCCCAACACAAAAGGTGCCTTAAAAGCTATAGCACATGGCTGAGATTTTAAAACTATACATCAGTCCAAAGAGAGGACCCAGCGCCAGAGCTAGAACAGGGGAAGGGGGATTAGGTGAGCCAACTTTTGAAACGAATCTAACCAAGAGTTCACTTCGCTGCAACCACTCCTAACACAACTGTACAGGAAACCCATCCCCTGCCAAGCTTAGCTGTTGTTCATGAAGACTGGGCCTGAAGCGAACGTCCTGGCTTGGGTTAAAGAACTGAGGATTGACCTGCTGGCAGGCCTGTTCGGGGGAGACTCACACAGAGTTAACAAATACAGTGCCCAAGGAATGCTCAGGAACTGCTTCCAAGCACAGCTAAAAAGATATTAGAGAACTACAGGAACCGAGCCTCTCAGCACAACCAAGCTGCGTATTAATGAAAGCCAGAAATCCCGCTATTCCAGCTGTGAAAGCTTCTGGCAGGGTCAGTCTCTTTGAACATCTCTAAGCAGCTAATGTGGGGCTGGAACACGGACAGGAAGCCCAATTTAGGACCACCTTCTCCTTTGAAATAGCCCTAAAAGGAGTCAGCCAACCAGCAAGAGCTAAGTCATGGACTAGTAGGGGAGGGCAGATTTTAATGTAATTAGGGTTTTTTAAAATTAAAACCAGCCTTTTGGGGGTCTTTTTGTTTTTTGGTTTGGAGCCATCAGGAATCATCAAGCTGTGCGACACTCAGCATGTGAGGTATAAGCTATCTTCGTTACCCACTGCTGCCTTTCCCACTTCCCTCGTGCTGTTTGCATCTAGTCGTAGAATAGGGACATAGGACTGGAGGGGATCTCCTGGGTCATCGAGTCCAGTCCCCTGCTATAGCAGACAACTCTGTCATATCATCCCTTCCCATTCAGAAACTTATCTAGATCCATCTTAAAACTACAGTAACGCCTCACTTAACGTAGTTATGTTCCTGAAAAATGCGACTTTAAGTGAAACGATGTTAAGCGAATCCAATTTCCCTATAGGAATTAATGTAAATGAGGGGGTTAGGTTCCAGCGAAATTTTTTTCACCAAAGACTATATATATATACACACACACACACACACACACACACACACACACAGAGTATAAGTTTTAAACAAATAATTTAATACTGGTACACAGTGATGATGATTGTGAAGCTTGGTTGAGGTGGAGGAGTCAGAGGGTGGGATATTTCCCAGGTAATGCCTTACTGCTAAATGATGAACTAGGAATTGGCTGAGCCCTCAAGGGTTAACTCTCACAGTCTACTGTACAAGGCAGCAGGAAAGGAGGGAGGGCAGACAGAGACACACACCCTGAGAGTGTGTGTGTGTGTGGGTGTGTGAGAGAGAGAGATGCGCATTTCCTCTTTAAGTATGAAGAGTGGGGACAGAAGTACACTGCCTTGTTAATTAGATCAGCAAGCTGAGACCGGACTGCAGCTGCAGCTGCCTGGAAGCTCCCTCTGTCATGAGTCCCCACTGCTCTATGGAAGATGGGGTAAGCGGGGTGCAGGAGCAGGGGGGAGGGGGACACCCTGACATTAGCCCCCCTCTTCCTCCCCTCCCACACAGCAAGCAGAAGTCTTGGGGAGCAGCTCCAAGGCAGAGGGCAGGAGCAGCACATGGCAGTGGTGGGAGGGATAGCTGCAATTGGTAGCCTGCTGGGCAGCTGCTGCTCAGGGAACTTAGGGGAGCGGGGAGCTGATAGGGGGGCTGTCAGTCCACCCTGGTTCCAGCTACCCACCAGCTAGCTCCACCGGGCTGCTGTTCCTGCAAGCAGTGGACAAAGCAGGCGGCTGCCAATCGACATTAGAAGGGAGCATTGCACAACTTTAAACGAGCATGTTCCCTAATTGATCAACAACGTAGCAACGAAACAACCTTAACCGGGATGACTTTAAGTGAGGAGTTACTGTAGTTAGGTTGTTTGCCATCACCCTCCCCCACTACCCTGACTGGGAGGCTGCTCCAGCCTTTAGATAGCATGCTATTTGGGGCAGGGGTTATGTCTTTGATACAGCACCAAACACAATGGGGTCCTGGCTGGTACTGAGGCGGCTCCCAGAGGCCCCAATAACAGTGTGAGTATAGGGATCTGGCACACCGCGAATGGGAAGAAGTGTGGACCAAGGCACTGAAACTGGAGTGGGAGAAGATCCTAAAAGGGCTTTAAAGACTGGCATTGTTGGAAAAGTAAAAGGTGTGATGGGCCGTGATACATCACAAGATAAAAGCTGTAGACAAGGGTAGAGCTGTGCAGAGCTTTGATGGGAGGGCCAGAATCTTAAACTGGACATGCTGACCAAGGGAGAGCAAGATGGAGAGATGTGACAAGGGGAATGATATGGTTGGATTAATTGGCGATTAAGATAATTTTGGCCACTGTATTTTGGAGTGACTGGAGAATGCAATATAGATGTCACAAGGGCAGAGAGGATGTGATAGTTACACCAGTCAAGCAGAAGATTACCCAGGGTATGAACAAGAGCCTTAGACAATGGGACAGAAAGGAAGGGATATATTTTCTAAATGATGCGGAGAAAGCAGTGGCAGGACTTGGTGGTAATAACCAGCACATGAGGCAAGGAGGAGAGGATGTAGTCAATTTGATCCCTGTAGTAAGAACAGAGCCTGAGACATAAGCCCTTGTATTAGAGGCCTGGTATGAGGCAGGACCTGCTTAAAGAATCTGGCAAGAACAGGGCTGGTATGGTAGAAATACACATTCCTAAGTTCTAGTTACAGAGTACTTACACAAACACATCCCGATATTAAGTGGTACCAGAACATTCCGATATCAAGGATGGTACAAACACATTCCCCAAGGATAACAGGAACACACTGACCCCTCCTAAAAAAATGTCAAGAGGACAGTACGGAGAGAGATGTTTTAATCAAACCAACATGTACAAGGTGATGGGTGATAACTAGCCACGTAAGCGGGCAGTAACTATGTCAGAGGGGCAGTACTAACTTGTTTGTAACGGGGTATAAAATGTATCTCAAAGGAAGTATCTTTGTCTGGCCTAGGGAGGAACGGAAAGTCCTGCCGTTCACTAAGCTG